TTATTTTCTAACAGATCAGAACTTTAAAGTTTTTAAAATGAATCTGTGAAAACAGAGTTGAAGTAAACAGGCTGATTTTTTTTCTATTAGGATTTATTGAAGTTCATTCTATTATGGTTAAAATAGTTCGGTCTTTTTCTCTGTACTTATAATTCATCAGTTCACCTAATTGTCTGTAGAGGGCAGTAAAACCTAGCTGTAATCAGACTGGCAGCTTCTGGCGGGATGAGTGGAGGGGAGTTACTCACCTGCATATGAACTCAACTGTGCTGGCAGACTAATGCCTTGTGATGCCTTGTTTCAGCGATCGTTAGGGGTTAGAACAAGTGAGGGAGAGTCTCAGAAATGTGGGCCTGGTTTTGATGAGGAAAGGTGTGTTGTTTTTTTGTCAAGCCCCCTGTTCTCCCCCTTTTTTTATTCTCTTCTCAAATCTAGGTGCAAGTTTTTCTTTTCTCAGAACATGAGATTTGAATGCAGGTGTCCCACCTACTTTTTCATAAAACATGGCTACACAGAAGTAGTTTTAATGAGCTGAATTTATTCCACGACTTTGAATCAGCAACTTTACCCTCTGTGCATCCTTTTTCTTCATCTACCTTATGTGGTATCTAGACACCCCCACCCCTCTCCAACATGGTGGCTGCACCCCCATCCRTCATCATTAGTACCTGGCAGCTCAGCTCACAGACTCTCCTGCATGTGCAAACACTGACCAGATGGGTCATTTCCCACAGCAGGGGGACACTCGGGACAAACACCTTTACTCCTCCAGAGATCAGCAGACAGTCTGTGTCGGAGGTTTCTCCGGTTCTGTAGAATTTAAAAACTCTCTCTCTAGAGGATATCCTCATCACACAAACAATTCAACGCTGCAAAGGCAACAACTTACCGCTCATAACAAACCATCATTCTGTGCGTTTCTGCAAACAAAAGCAAAACACATAAAGACTTTATCTGGGTAAAAAAGAAAAGGAAAGTTCAAACTCGGTTCATTTTTAATGTGTTGTGAATTTCATGTTATGAGGAGCAAAACAAATAAAAAAAATTAAACAATGGTATTTTTAGAAACAGGGAAGAAGCACAGCTACTGAGGGAGGAGAGGGAGACCAAAAATAAATAAATTAAAAAAAAACTTGACAACGCTGTCTGACATTGTTTGATTACCCACCTTATAGTTGTTACCTGCACATACCAGTTTCTAATATGAACTTTTTGGCTCACTGTGACCTTATACTTGTGAAATTCACTACTCCTGATAAATGTATGGAATTAAAGATTTGTTGTTGTCTAAAAACTGAAAATGAATCTGCAAAAGGAAAAATATATTTTTACAAATCTATGTCTGTGTTCAAATAGTCCTTTATTTCATTATACACTACCACTTTATTAGGTGCACTTGTTCAATTGCTTGTTAACACAAACAGCTAATCAGCCAACCACATGGCGGCAGCTCATTGCCTTTAGGCATGTAGATGTGAAGACAGCTTATAGTTCAAACCAAGCATCAGAGTGGGGAAGAAAAGGGACTCAAGTGACTTTGAATGTGGTGTAATTGTTGATACCATATGATGGCTGATCTATTGGTATCTTTACACACAACTATCTTTTTATTTACGGAACACCTGACTGTGAATACTTAAGTTATAAAATATATTCCATTCAAGTAGTGTTAAGCTGTCCCCTATTCACTAAATAATTTACCATATGGTGACCACCATGTAGTGAGTGAACATTTGGAAAACAGCTTGTTTCATCAAAAATCAGCTGGCTGCCCTACCATTGCTCCACTGTCGCCTCCCCATCAACCACAAGGCTCTGACTTTATTTTTGAGCATTCTTTCAGAAGGATTTTTATGAACTCATTAAATAAAGCCTGAAGAAACGTGGTGCACAAGTCTCCTTAAGGTTTCAACAGTTGTGGGAAATATTTGTTTTGACTCTAAGCAATTCCACTGAGAGCTAAAAAAACACAAGTGGGCTTAAAACAGCTATTCTAGGAAAAGAAAAAAATATTTTTTTTTCTATGAGAAAGGCATTCTTTGTAAAAGCTTTCGTGTGCACTAACTTAGACGGTGTCTGGTTTTGAGGATAAGGAAGACGTTTTCAGTGAAAGGGTGCCGTAGTCAATCTTCAGCTCTGACCTCTCAGACCAAACAACTGTCTGAGTTTTGCTTTAGTGGACATGTGCATTGGACTGTGTCAGAAGTGTTTGTTTCCTCACTGCTTTACTGCAGACCTGTTAGTGTGAAGTCTAGTGCTGCTTGCGGTGCAGGCTCAAGATTGGGTCATTCGGATTCCATGCTTGTGAATCAGAGCTTGTAGATTTCTATCAGGCCTCATTATCTTGTTAGATAAAAGGCCTGAGAAATTCAACGTTGTGCATTTGTAAGCAGTAATTTGTAAAAAGGGACATCATAATACAGAATAGGAAGAACATACTTTGTCAGTGTCTGTTTATAGATGTAAAATTTTAAAAAGTGAGACTCAAAAGTTGCAAACTTTGTCCCTGTTTTGACCATTTGATCACAAATCTAACATAAGATTATGTACCCCAACTCTTGCTCAGCCCCTTCCCTTTGATTGGTCAGTTTGACCTGTGATTGAATTGTCACGATTTGACCAGAGCAGTGGCGGAGCCAGACATTTTTCTCAGGGTGGCCAGACTGGGCCCACTACTCACACAGGGGTGGCCAGGAAAATTACATGATTTTCACTTGAAAGTTTCTGTAGCTATTTGTGTTTTGGTCATTTCCTTATGTCCTAATAGGCAGTGACTATTTTATAAACATGGGCAYCATTTTAAAAGTGGGGGGACAGACTGTTGGGAGGTCTGGGGGTCCTCCCCCCGAAAATTTTGAACGAAATAGATGCCATTTCCTGCATTCTGGTGTATTTTACCAAGTTTTTAAACATACATAAACACTTGATTTAACAATTACTTCAGAGACAAATTACTCATTAAACTAGTTCCATCATCCTGTTTTAAATGCACTGCTACAGCTGAGATAAGGTTAATTAATGTGACACAATTGTAACACGTCATTGTGCCAAATAATGATGACGCACAGCTGCATRTTTAAAACTAATATTAATAATTTTACCCAATGAACAGGTGCAATATTGATAACCACCAACAGTGAATTTAGAGGGGTGTTTCACTTTTTCTGATTTCGTGTTAGGCCTTCTCATAACCAAAAGGGACAGAGCATCATTCAGCCTTCATAGCATAAAATGACCCCCCCAAAAACACATTTGTCACCATAAGTCCAAAAATTTACAAAAGTCAGATTACATAGGCATATGTTTTGTATAAAAGAAAATCATCACTTCCTTGTCATTACTCTTCTTCAATGAAAGAACTTGATGTTTCAAACTGTTAAACACTGCCACCAACTGTTCAGAAGGATTATTACACCTCTAAAGGTTGTTTCACTGTGTAAGGGGTGTGTACAGCAGGGTGGCCAATGGGGTGGCCAAGATTTGCCTGTGGTGGCCATGGCCACCCCTGGCCACCACCTGGACCAGAGTGAGAAAAACAGAGTTGGCTCTTCAGCATCACRCTTTTTTTWAAACATCTTTTTGTTCTTAMATTGCCCCAGAGTTCTGTGCACAACTTTTTTTTCTTGCAGGGTATATTTGGTCAGAACTTTGTGGGCGTGTTAAATGCAGAAAAACGGCTGAACTACGCTGCCCTCATTCAACTGCTCCACGAAGGAGCAGCTGGCTGAAACTGTTACTACAGCCATCTTTACAACTGTTCCAGCAAAATTTACAAAGAAACGTCAAATAAAACAAAAAAGAAAGTCAAAGAACTTGTGGAAGGACWGTCACGTTTTTTGTGCACAAAGGAGACAGCGTGGAGACACAGGCGGCTCTCTGTCATTGCACAGTTACGTCTGCGAGAACAGAGTTTGGCACCTCTGACTGAGWATAAATTGGCCTGTAGTGGGCGTTAAACTTTACAGTTTAGATTTCTGCTTTATATCTGTAACCATATGGTACCAGAACCCTTCAGTAGTCCTCTTTGTGTAGCTCCACTTCCTTACACACAAATCTTTTCTGCATTCACCCTAATTCTACTCACACATTTACAAACTTGATTTTCTCAGGATGATTAATTTCACTTTGTATCAACAAAGCTTGAATTATAACTGGAAGCTGATTTATAAATATAAAATCACCATGACTCAAATTTGAGTCAGTTAYAACTACTGCTGCAGTCTTGAGTTGCCACAAGGTGTGATTTAACTTCTTTTGACAGAAAACATGAAAATTCATTCATGTTCTGATCACTTTTTCTTCCAAGTTGTTCCTTTTCACAAAATCAATCAACTAAATAACCCACAAAGAAAATTTAAATATTTTTCTTGCTTTTGTTTCTTTTTACAAGTTTTATACATTGATTGATTACCGGTAATTCCCTCTGCTGTAGTCATTTAGTTAACATTCAAAATACTTAATTTTTTTCTCCTTATCACGGTGTACATAAAGCAAAATCAGTACAACTTCCAGCCCCTTTTCCTCTTTTCTTAAAATCTTCATCACCTTCTTACACCTTCCTTGTTTCCTTAATTGAAACAACCACAAAATGCTCTGAGTGATTTTACTAAAGCTTGTAACAGCAGCTTTTACACCTTAGGCTGATTGTACATTCTCCATTTCCCATCAGGGAGTTACTGGTCCGGGCCAGTACCATATCAGAGGTCTGTTTGAGAAGCCGGTCCAGTCCATCATCGAGTTACCAAAGATCACCAAGAGCTTCCTCTCACAGACTGAGGTACAGAACAAACACATGCAGCTCTTTCTTTGAGTCAGAGGAATCAAGTTCAGCAGAACAGGTGGGATACAAATGCATGTGTCCTCCAGGGTTTGTTACAATTGTAGTTTTGTTTTAGCTCACATTCATTAGCATTTTAACTCCAGAACCTCAGCAACATATTTAAATACACAATGTTTTCATTTACATAACTTGCTATGTGGCTGCTGCCACCAAACTTCAGGCTGATTTTTTTTTTTTTAGTTTTTACAGCAACTAAGCTGACCTTGACAAAAAGAAATGTGATCTGATCATTTATTTAGCCAAAAATGGACAAGAAGCATCTGAGTTCAAACAAGTAAGGTTCAAATTTAATATTCACTCCTTTTCGTGTGTTTTTTAGCCCATGTATGTATGTATGTATGTATGTATGTATGTACAGTACGTATGTATGTATGTATGTATGTATGTATGTATGTGAGTGGGCATTTTGTGTTTTTATACATAAGCTTGATTTAAGTCTTTTATCACAGCAAGGACAGCTTTATGTTTCAGAAAACATTATTTTTTCTCTTGAACAACTTCYAGGGTGATGATAGTTTAAAATGAGCATAAACAGTGGAAGAGCTGAGACTTAAGACAAAAAATTCTTTGCACCTTGATTCCTTCTAGTTTTTTCACATTCTTTTGGTCATGCCAATCAAACTCAGCTGACCCTCAGGTTGCTGTTTACACAGGAACACACATGCGCAATGAAGTGATGACTAACATTGACGCTGTGAGCCACTGAAACTGAACAGTCAGACATAAGGTAGGACTCAAATACTTTAGATTTCTTACCCCCGCTTTATCTGTGTCATCTGCTAATGAAGTATTTTAAAGAATAAAACCCATTATTCATTATTATCCATCCCATTCTTTACACAAAAGGAATTGTTGAAACTTTCTWTAGACGTAATTTGCATACGGCAGATATATTCAATTTAAAATATCTCAAAGGAGACGAGACTTTAATGCGGACTACTTAAGATCAGTTATAGATCCGTGACACTGAGGCGTTCCTTGCCTGTTTAATGGATGCTTTGGGACTGAAAGGGGTTTTTCAGATGGGGGGGTGTAATAARAGGCTCTGAGGAGCAAAGATGAAGGGCTTGAAAAAAGTGTAGTTTTAGGACTCTGTTCCTTCTCTGAGGCTTTAACCCAGAGAGTTCACTCCTGTGAAACTCTCCGACTGATGTTTTAATTATCAGCCCAACACACACGTGCACAGCTTGAATCCAGACATMCGTGTGGATCTGAAATTCAACTGCTGACTTAAATGGAGACGTAAAGTTTCATGGTTGCTTTGTCTGCATTGCACAACACTTCATTTATTAAAACTGTTCTGGTTTTTAACACCATGAACGATTTTCTAGTTTTCTAAGAACAACTAATCTGAGATATTTTTTAAAGCGTGCTTGAACATGTTTGTGTGTGTCAGAGCCTCCTCTGACCTAATTTCCTTGGCCTCATGCTGTGGAAGCGCGTCGACCTTCTGATGCCGTCAGTGACGCTCACCATGACTTGTGCACGTGTGTATGTGTGTGTATGTGTGTGTGTGTGTGCACGAGTCATTTTTCTGGCAGTTAAGTCGACAGTTTTCTTAGATCTTAGTCTCCCTGTGAGTCCGGTTCCTTCTGACATTGTTATCTGGAGCGATGGAGAGCAAATGAGGGAAAGAAGAAGGGAGGGAAGTGTCTGAGAGGAACAGTTGAAATCTTCTGGTTCCTGTATTTTCTGCTCTTTAGAAATCCCAATTTCCCAATAATTTCTGGAAAACGGGTTTTTATTTGATTTCTCTTTGTTCAACTCCTCTACCTGTTCTGTTAAATGTTGGGACTTTTTTTTCAGCTCACAAGACATTTCTGTACAATTTGTTCAACATTTTACGATTATTTCTCTATGTTTTCACCTTGTTTCATTTTAAAAGTCTGTGAGACTTTTTACACGGATCAGTRCCATTTTATCTGTGGAGTCTTTAAAGGGGGGTATCATGCAAAATTATTTAAGCTGTAAATCATGTTATAGTGTCATTCCTTCATTGGAAACATACACAGGGTGTTGCTTTGACTCATTCATGCATGTTTGAGAAATCCTTGAATYTCCTGTGGGGCCATGTGGAGCTGCCTGAGCATTAAAGCACCGCCTTTTTGTACAAAGCTCCTCCCCGGAGCTCAATCCGCACCCCACCTCTCCTCTGAAGCACTGTTGTGAAGACATGCTGCGGGATTAGTGGGATTATTAAAGTTAAAAAAATGTCCAATACCTAAACAGTGTTTTCACAGGTGGTTCACCTACACATGCAGTGAATGTAAATAATCACTTGTAGAATTTATTGCTACTGATATTATAAGGGATTGGGTATTAAATGGTATTTTCCTAATTTTCCTTTAAAGGCACCCACTCTAACTGCTCTTTCTTTTTTGACTTAATTGATCTTAACAAAAAATAGGATTCGTTTGAAGCCAGAATGGTGTTGCTTGTACTGCTATAGTACTCTCGCTGTGAATTTTACAATAACARTCATTGTATTTGATGTCAAAATGCACTGAGATTTTGGCTCTGATCTTCTTGTAGCTGTTTGAACAATAGGAGGCTGAAAAATAAATCTTTCAGTTTTCATATAAAGTACCATCAAAGCACAGTGTGTGTCAGCTGAAGAAAGAACATGTGGCCATTAATAAGACCTTACCAAAGCCAGTGGGGCAGAGTTGGTTTGACAGATGGCTTACAATCCCTATCTTTACAACAGCTTTTGAATACATACAGTTTGGTTTGGCCTCGGAACAGCTTGCCTCCTTTTCGTCTCTTGAAATACTCCAAACACTTTCTTCGCTTCTCCCGGCCTCTTCTTGCAGCTACTCCCCCCTGCTCGCTTCTCTTTCCCATTCAAGTCATCTTTTTCCTAAAAGCTCGATAATTCAACTGTGCATTACTAACTGAATTTTCAGTATCCCGCAACTAATTTTCCACAGGCTGCATCATGCTTAAGTGGAAAGTGCAAATCAATGATTGGCATGATTCCAACAAATAAATTATATTTAAGATTTGAGCCGAGCATCGTCGTCTGGGGAACTGGCTCTGGCCAAAACAGGCGAGTATTGTGTGTGTGTGTGTGTGTGTGTGTGTGTGTGTGTGTGTGTGTGTGTGTGTGTGTGTGTGTGTGTGTGTGT